AAGGAAGTTTTTATAATCTAAAGCTGTGGTTACAAGATCGTCCTGTCTGTCATTGTGTGCCCTCTCCCCTATTCCCTCTGGGCCATTCGCCATCCTGCAAACAGGGTGATGATATGGAATCATTCTGATGCTATGCCTTTCAGCTGGATGGCGGGAACTTGGTTCTTTGCAATAATGAGATTTAGTTGGGTATTGTAATAACTACTTATAATCTATTTTATAATCTATTGGACTGTAAAAATATTTCTTGAGGGACTGGAGAGATGGCTCAGTGGTTAAGAGCACTGGCTGCTCTTCCAAAGGACCCAGGGTCAATTCCCAGCAACCACATGACAGTTCACAACTGTCTGTAATTCCAGTTCCTGGGGATCTGGCACGCACCCCCAAGGTACATTAAAAAAATAATAATCTTTAAAAAAAATTGCTGAAATTGCCAGGCAGTGGTGGCACACGACTTTAATCCCAGCACTTGGGAGGCAGAGGCAGGCAGATCTCTGAGTTCGAGGCCAGCCTGGTCTACAGAGCAAGTTCCAAGACAGTTTCCAAAGAAGATGCTAAATGTATTTCACTCTGATTACTAGCCTGAGATAATGGTTGTATCAGGACAACCTTGTCTCATCAAAGCAAACGAACTGTTTCCTACAGTCAAAAGTTGTCATTTACATATTTCCAGCATTTGAAAAGCATGCAAAGATGGGGTGGGGTGGGGTGTTAGAACTATCTGGACAGTTTCAAGTACTGATACCCAATAGGAATTCTTTGGAGTGGCTGAAGACGTGGCTCAGCAGTTAGGGGCACTCACTGCTCTTTTAAAAGACCTTAGTTCAATTCCCAACACCCACATTGGGGTGCTCGAAACTTCTTGTAACTCCAGTTCCAGGAGATTGAACACTCTCTTGTGATCTCTACAAAGACCAAACACACCTGGCATATACTCTCAGGCATGAGTTTAAAAAAACAAAACAAAACAATTTTAACAAAAATTCTGGAGTATAGACAGTGTAAGAATGTCAAGCAGAGCCGGGAGGTGGTGACACACACCTTTTATCCCAGCACTAGGGAGGCAGAGGCAGGTCCACAGAGTGTGTCCCAGGACAGCCCAGGCTGTTAAACAGAGAAACCCTGTCTCAAAAAACTAAAAAAAAAAAAAGAAAAAAAAAGGATAAGCAGGTAGTTATGGCGCTAAGCTTTGAGAAAACAGGTATCAAACAGCTGGGTTTTGTTTTTTGGCTTTTTTTTTTTTTTTGGTTTTTGGTTTTTGAGATGTGATTTGCTGTTGCTCTTGCAGAAAGTCTGCCTTCAGTTCCCAGCACCCACTGGTGGCTTACAACCATCCATAACCACAAAGGTGCACACATGGCACAAATACATGGACGCAAAACATTTATACACAGAAAAATACAAACTTCTTTACATGGGTGGCTTAGCATGTCAGTGGGCATTCCTGCCACAAACCTAACCACTTTAAACCTAGTGGTACAAGGAGAGAACCGTACTATTTTTTCTCTGCCCTCCATGGGTGTGATGTGGCACATGAACCCATACGCGCACCCACTCAGTGTTTAAAAACATTTTTCACCAAATAATAGCATACATTTACATAAGGGGAATTGCCACCCATTGTTTTGTGGTTTTTTGTTTTTGTTTGTTTGTTTGTTTTTTTTTTTTTTTTGGTTTTTTGAGACAGGGTTTCTCTGTGTAGTTTTGTGCTTTTCCTGGAACTCACTTGGTAGCCCAGGCTGGCCTCGAACTCACAGAAATTCGCCTGGCTCTGCCTCCCGAGTGCTGGGATTAACCACTGCATACCTATGCTTTTATTCCTAGTTCAACTGTCACTGTTTAAAAGTTTTTGCCAGGCAATGGTGGCACACACCTTTAGTCCCAGTACTTGGGAGGCAGAGGGAGGCAGATCTCTGAGTTCAAGGCCAGCCTGGTGTCCAGAGCGAGTTCTGGGGACAGCCAGGAATACACAGAGAAACCCCTTGCAAAAAAAAAAAAAAAAAAAAGAAATCCTCACACACAGAAAAACTGTTCCAGGTTCATTTGGTTTTCTTGAGACAGGCTCTCACTACGCAGACTAGGCTGGGCCTTGCCTCTGCCTCTCTATGCCCAGCTTCAGATTTATGTTATATGTATCAGTATTTTGCCTACACATACGTATGTTTACCATGTGCCTGGGCATCAGATCCTCTGGAAGTGAAGTTATAGATGGTTGTGAGCGACCATGTGAACCCAATCCAGGACCTCTACAAGAGCAATAAGTGCTCTTAACTGCTGAATCATTTCTCCAAGCTCCCTCGACTCAAAAACCAAATGGTATCCACATCACCTAGAAATGTTCAAAGTGCAAATTCGTGGGCACATTGTATCCTGAGAATTGGGCTCAGCAATGTGTTAACAAGTTCATCAATGGTTCTAAAATGTGCACTTGTTTAGGAAGAAGTCAAATACCACTTTTAATACAATAAAAACAAATACCACCTACTAGGCAGTAAGTCATTAGGCATTCGGGTGTTTGGTGGTTTGACAGCCATTACTGGTTGTCAACTTGACTCTATCTGGAATGAACTATAATCCAGATATGGAGTGATGTGGATCTTGGGCAGGAAGACAACATGCGTGTAATTCAGACCTTGAGGCTGGAAGGCACACCTTTAATCTGGGCCACGCCCTCTGCTGGAATACTATGTAAGGACGATGGAAGAAGGAAGGGTGTTCTTGGTCTGCCTGTCCTACCTCCCTCAGCCCATCCATTCCTTCTTTGAGATCCCAGCAGCCAGCTGAGACAGCCAGCCTCGTGGGACTGGGCAGCACCTAGATTCTTGGACTTTCCATTCATAACCATTGTTGGACTGCAGCCCATAAGTCAATTCCAGTAAGTTCATATGTGTGTGTGTGTGTGTGTATAGAGAGAGATTCGTAAGTCAGAACACTGACTGGAGAACAGGTAGGTGATAAAATTTTTTGCTTTTTGTTAATATATTCTTTTAAAAATTACTGTTATTTGCTCATTTTGAGACAGTCTTAACCATGTAGCCTTGGCTGGCCTCGAACTTACTGTGTAGACCAGGCTGGCTTCGAACTCAGATCCACCTGCCTCTGCCTCCTGAGTGCTGGGATTAAAGGCGTGCACCACCACTCCCAGCCTAACAGTTTTAAACAAGTCTCTAATACATTCTGGTCACACACACACACACCTCCATCCCCTTTTTCCTTTTCTTTTTAGGCTGCTCTTATATTCACTGTAGCATTGTAAGGTTGTTCGCACCCTTCCCCTCTTCTGAAACTGTATCCAACATAATGGGTTTGTTTTTTTCAGTCCTGGGATATGAACCCAGATTCTCACAATGTTAGACCAGTGCTCACCACTCAGCCATATCACCAACATGTTCCCCACATGTTAAGAGATTTAAAGGGATTTTGTGGAATAAAATATGGCCAGCTGGAGTTTAGCATGCCTCCAAGTCACAGCTGAAATTCCCAGGGGAAATGTAGATCTCAGGCCCCATCCAAACCTGCTGGATCATAATTTACATACTAAGAACATCCTAGGGCTACTGAGATGTTCAACAGGTAAAAGGTAAAGCCATGCTGCCCAAGTCGGACAGCCTGAGTTAGATCCCAGAACCCATGAAAGGAGGGAAATGACCTCCCTACACCTACAATGATAGTAAAAACTTTTAAAAAGGTCCCAGATGATTAGTTTATAAACCATTTTCCCCAGCACTGCAAAGGGTGGAGGGGCACTGAAACAGGAATAAGATAGGATGATGTGATACTCAAAGTGAGTACAAGATAATCCTACCTACCCACCCGGTCTCCCTACAGGGACCGATCAATGAGAAGTATTATACACGGAGAATCTATACACTTGTTCTTCTGGAGGCGGGTGGAGCAGGAAAGGGTTGTGGTTTTTGTTTGTTTGTTTTTGAGACAAGGTTTCTCTGTGTAGTTTTGGAGCCTTTCCTGGATCTCACTTTGTAGACCAGGCTGGCCTTGAACTCACAGAGATCCACCTGGCTCTGCCTCCCGAGTGCTGGGATTAAAGGCGTGCGCCACCACCGCCTGGCGGGTTTTTAACTTTTAATGTCAAAGAAACTTAAGTAATTTTTTTTCCCTTTATACTAGAAACAAAGGCCCACACCTTGCCCCGCACACCTGGCACAGTATCCATCCCAGAGACTCAGGCGGGGAGGGGTATGGCAGGAAGAGGTCTTGAGCTCATCTTGAATCTTAAATTTAAGAGGTAAAGCCGGGCGGTATTGCACGCCTGTAATCCCAGCGGCAGGTGGATCTCGAGTTCGAGGCCCGTCTGGTCTACAGCGAGTTCCAGAACAGCGAAGGCTACACAGAGAAACCCTGTCTCGAAAAGTAAAAGAGGCAACGTCTTGTGACACCAATATCAGCTCCCGACTCCTTCCTTAGCTTAGAACTAGCCTTAGCTAATGAAAACAGTAAAGAGCACACAGGATAAAAATGCAGCGAGGCCTGGTAGCGCACGCCCTGAATCCCAGCACTCTGCAGGGAGAGGCAGAGTTCGAGGCCAGGCTGATCTATAGAAAAAAGTTCCAGGGCCACATACTGGGACCCTGCCTAAATGTATCTGAATGAAACAGATCAGACCTTCATTTTCTTCCAGTACTATAAAGTGGCACCCGACAGTCCGTCCTTAACGAACCTCCCAACAAGCGCCTTTCGCGTCCCAAACTCTAAGTCCCGCCCTCCACGGGCAAAGGCCAGGCCCCTTATTTTTATTTCCGGGCAGCGATAACCACGTGGTGTTACCAATAACAACTTAGCATTTCCTTCAGCCTCTAGATAATTCGCGTCAGCGACTGCCGGCCGGACCAATAGGACCATGGATAGAAATAAGCAACAGCCAGAGTAGCCAATCAGCACGAAGTGTTGTAAGGCGGGACTTTGAGTACGGAAGCTGCTGTAGGACACGCGGAAAGGAAAGAGTGAAGGACCCCGTGAAGGGGCAAAATAGGCAGGTGAGAGGATAGGAGGTCAGTGATCTGAAGCCTGGTGAGATAAACCGATTTCGGGCTAGAAAGGGTGCAGAAGTAGGCTGAGTTCTAGCCGGTGGCGCGGGTGGAGGAAGAGAAGGAATGCATTTAAAGGGGCCCGAGGCCCAGAATAAGATAGACATTTAAAGGGACAGGTGACCCGAAGAGAAGAGAGAGACATTTAAAGGTGCAGATAACCCAGACAGAACAAATTCCAGACCTGCTCGGCAGACGGCGAGGTCTAAAGTGGTAGGTCTTGGAAAGGACATGGCACTTTAAGGGAACAGGAATCGAGCCGCTTTTAGGAGCCTGGGGCTTGAGTATACGTTAAAGAGGCCGAAGAAAAGGAGGATTGAGCCTTCCTCTAAAAAGGAAGGTACACTTCTGCCCTCTCCGTTGTCTTTTCTGGCTCTCCCAGGTTTCCTTGACCCCCGACTCTGTATTCATTCTATGGCCCTCGGTGTCCTGTAGACCTGGCGGCCCCTCAGTGCTTACGGCCCCTATTTGGGGTTCTGAGCGGCTACTGGAGAACCTTGCAAAGGAGCAGACAGGGCAAGACCATGGCATCTAGGGCCCCTGAGCTTCCTCCAGGACGCAGCGTGACGGCGGGCATCATCATTGTTGGAGATGAGATCCTTAAGGTGTGTCTAGAACTGAAGAGGGGAGGGGCGAGGTAACCTCTTACTGTGGGGCTTTCTCTTTCTGGTGAAAGGTGGTGAACCGGGGTGGGAATCCTCTTGCTTGTCAAAGTAGGGCCCTGTAGTGAGTCTCAACCTATTGGAGGAAAAGTGACCCTCCTGTTTTTCTGTTGAAAGATGGGTAGCGACTTCCCCACAACTGCCTATGTAGAGAGAGCCACCCAACAATTAATTACAGGAGGGACAGTAAGTCGCGGAAGCACCAGTGTCACTAATGTGTATCCAGCCTATTGGCAAGTTATTCAAAGAGCTCAGCAGACTGGGTAGGCGAGCCAGAAGGAAGGTACTAGAAGAGAGGACTCTATTCCGGATGATCAGGGGCATCACTAGAGGATATGGCAGGCATAGGTTTGTACCAGTAATTTTGTCCTGATCTTTTTTAGTGTTTACCAGAGGCTGGCATGTACTTATATATTACACGTGGCCTTACAAACTCCAACAATTCCATGAAGTTGGGGTTTTTATTACAAATCACATTAGATTATGAAACAGCCTCAAAGAGGTGAGAAACTTGCCCAAGGTCACAAGCCTACAAAGTGCTAGAAGCATGGTGGCACACACCTTTAGTCCCAGCACTTGGAAGGCAGAAGTAGGTGGATTTCTGTGAGTTTGAGGCCAGCCTAGTTTACATAGTGAGTTCCAGGACAGCCGGGACTACACAGAGAGACCCTGTCTCAAAATAAATAAAAGGAAGAAAATGGTAGAGATGGAATTCTAGCCCAATTCTTACTCTAGAGCACAAACTTTCTGAGACAGGATCTAACTGAGTAGCCCTGGCTGTCCTGGAACTCACGCTGTAGACCAGACTGGCCTTGAACTCACAAAGATCCACCTGGCTCTACCTCCAGGTGCTGGGATTAAAGATCTATACCACTATGCCAGGCTTAAAGGTTTTTATTTTATGTTTTTCTGTCTCTGTGTATCCAAGAATGCCCACAGAGGCCAGAAGGAGGTATGAGATTCCCTGGAGTAGGACTTAAGGCTACTGTGAGCTGCCCAGTGCCAGTGCTGGGGGCCAAACCTAGAAAAGCAGCAAGCACTCTTCACTGCTGAGCTGTCTATCCCTCCAACTCCAGAACATAAACTCCTAACTAGTCATCCTTCTATAGAGAAGCAGACCTTAAGCCAGGAAAGAAGACGGGGCACACAACATCGCCAGCCTTTAATGATTGCAAAAGACTTTGAACTTTATTCTGTATGCAGTTGGAAACAACACGTGTTTTTGAGCACAGAAGTGATCAGTGACCACAGTGGCACATTAGAAAGGTTCCTTAGAGGACAGGGAATGGAGCGTAGTGCTGGAGGCTGTCAGCTTTGTCCAGGGGAAAGGTGCTAAGGCCCAGCCTAAAGGAACTGAAAACCGCAAAGAGAGGAGGTGCTGAGGATTTTCAGAAGTGGAGTTGACAACATAAAAGACCTGACTGGCCATGGGCAGTGTCTGGGATGCCACTGATGCCAAACAGCAATCCCCAGGGACGTGGTGAGACTGCCCGGCAGGCACTTGAAGCCAGGGACGAAAACTGAAACTGTTGGGGTTGGTGAGAAGTCGAAAGAGCCACACAGAATTAATGATTGAGTTTACAAATATAGGTGAGGTGTCAGGATCAAACTGCAGAATTGACAACCAAATCTGTAAATGCAAGTGAGGACAGGATGAATGGGTAGCAAAGGAGCCCCAAGGAGAACCCCCTTCTCTCTCCATTCAAATGGGTTTTCTCATTCCTCTTCCCATTCCAGGCTCCTTGGCAGCCTAAGGAGGTACCCCCAAAACAGAGCACCCCATCACTAGACAGATGTAGCTCTCTCCCCCTCTGCCCTTCATCCGCCAGCACTGACAGGCTTATCCCTCCTCCGACCCTAGGGACACACTCAAGACACCAACACTTACTTTCTGTGCCGGACACTGCGCTCCCTGGGGGTCCAGGTTTGCCGAGTCTCTGTTGTACCCGATGAGGTAGCCACCATTGCAGCTGAGATCGCCTCCTTCTCCAGCCGCTTCACTCATGTCCTCACCGCAGGAGGCATCGGCCCCACTCATGACGATGTAACGTTTGAGGCAGTGGCGCAGGCCTTTGGGGAGGAGCTCAAACCACACCCTGAGCTCCAAGCAGCCATCAAAACCCTAGGAGGGGAGGGTTGGGAGAAGCTGTCGATGGTGCCCTCCTCTGCCCGCCTGCATTATGGCACAGATCCTCGCACGGGCCAGCCCTTCAGGTTCCCGCTGGTCTCGGTCCGAAATGTCTACCTCTTCCCAGGAATTCCGGAGCTGCTGCGGCGAGCCTTGGAGGGACTGAAAGGACTGTTCCAAAACTCAGCTGTACAATTCCACATGAAGGAGTTGTATGTGGCTGCTGCTGAGGGCTCGATCGCCTCCGTCCTAACTGAGGCCCAGGCCCACTTTGGGCGTAGGCTTAACCTGGGCTCCTACCCTGACTGGGGCAGCAACTACTACCAGGTGAAGCTGATTCTAGACTCGGAGGAAAAAGAGCCCTTGGAGGAGTGCCTGGCCTATCTGACCGCACATCTGCCTCAGGGATCCCTGGTCCCCTACCTGCCCAACGCTGTTGAGCAGGCTAGTGAGGCTGTATACAAACTCGCTCAGTCAGGTAGGAGTTTCCTTGGGGAAGGCAGTGTGGACCAGAGTCGGGGTTCTCCGCTAGATCTAGAAATGCTTGTGGAGGGCTCCCCGCAGATGCAGGGAAAAGTAGAAGAGGGTTGCTGTTGATCCGTGCATTCCTCCAGTAACTACTGATTACCACCTTGCACCAGTACCGTGCCGGGTGCCGGGGTTGGTCCAGCTTATCAGAACAGGTGTGCGCTACCTTGAGTAGTGGTTCGACCAGTGGGTTAGCCGTAAACAGGCGATCGTCGGTGAGATATGAGGCCGAAGCGGATTCCAGCCCAGAGATGGTGGCTTTGATCTTGAGTCAGAGAAAAGGGTCCTTGAACAAATGACAAAAACCTGCGAGACGAGGATCTGGTTGGACCTGGAGGTGGGCGAGAACGATGTGAAAGGAGGCTGGAGGGAAGCCGATGGAGCTGCAGGGAGGATGAGAGGAAACCCCAGCACCCCTCAGTCCCTGCCCAGAGGCAAGACTAAAACCAGGGTCACGTGAGGTGGGGTTGAGTAGCAGGCAGGGAGACAGACAATGCAGGACAGCGCGAAAGAGTTTGGATTTAACCCCAGAACACGGGGAAGATAGTGAAACTTTTAAGCAAGGGTACCGTGATTCTGTGACAGCCATGTTTACCTAGTTGACATTCTCTTCCCTGCGTATATGGCAGGATCTTCTCTGGGGAAGAAGGTAGCCAGTGCCCTGCAGACCATTGAGACCGCCCTCGATAGATACCACCTCTCCAAGCTCTGTGTGGGCTTCAATGGTGGCAAGGACTGCACTGCCCTCCTACACCTCTTCCACGCAGCTGTGCAGAGGTAAGCCCCCCCCCCGAGCTAAGGTTCCAGAAATACCTACTCAAAACCCCCAGCTCTCAAGCTCTTTTCTGAAAATGAAAAAGTACTCAGGTGGGGCTTGGGAGGAAGGTAGCTGGGTAGTCCGTCGAGTACTGCCATCCCCCACCATATTTATTGAGCATCTGATGTACGTCTGACCCTGGGTCCAGGTATGTAGTCAACAACCATCCCCCCCCACAGGGAAGCCACAGTCCAGTTGTGCAGGTGAGATTTACCAGAAGTCATATGACCTGGTAGCAGTCCTAGCAGTCGGGCAAGGCAGTGGCCGGGCCTCATCTGAGCTCAGGAACTGGAGGCTAGCCTAGGGAGTGTTTGCCGTGTGTGTGTGTGTGTGTGTGTGTGTGTGTGTGTGTGTGTGTGTGTGTGTGTACCTCATCCAAGCCTGGGTCAGAAGAGTGCTGGAGCCTCGGGGCCTGGAGTGACAGATGGGTTGTAGGTCACTGTATGGGGTCTGGGAATGGAACCCAGCTCCCCTGCAAGAGCAACAAGTGCTTTTAATTGCGGAACTAACTCTTCTGCCCATAGGTTTTTTTGAAAGCTCTTTCTTGGTGGTCCATGTCTGTTTTTTTTTATCTTAGAATAACAGAAATGATGCTTAGTTTGATTGAGAGCAGAGTGAAACAGGTCAACTGGCACCTACCTGTATCCCCCGCCCTCAGGGTGCTAAAGCAGGACTGTAAGTTTAAGGCCAGCTGCTCCATAATGAGTTATAGAACAGCCTAGGCGAACACAGCAAGACCCTGGCTCAAAACAAAAGGATAAGAGATCAGAGTGGGCTTCTCGGAGGAAGTGGGTCTGGGTCTGCTGAAAGGATGAGAGCTGGGCGGCAGTGATGCACACTTTAATCCCAGGGCTCAGGAGTCAGAGGTACTCAGATCTCTGTGAGTTCGAGACCAGCCTAGTGTACAGAGTGAGTTCCAGGACAGCCAGGGCTACCTTATCTCGGTGGGGGAAAAAAGGAGGGGTTTTGGGGAGGAAGTGGTGGGTGTGGATCCTAGGAGCCGGACAGAATACTGAACTCTGGAGAGCACCTTTGCTGTCCACCCTGGCAAGTCTGGATCCTTACTCTCCCCAGGAAATTTCCTGATGCTCCAAAACCTCTCCAGATCCTGTACATCCATAGCATCTCGACTTTCCCTGAGTTGGAACAGTTTCTACAAGACACCATCAAAAGGTATTGGGACTTGGGAGTTTGGGCTCCACGGGGGGCCTTGGCAGTGCCTACTCTGGCCCTCATCTCTGTCCTCTTCCTTCCTAAGGTATAACCTGCAGGTGTTAGAAGCTGAGGGTGACATGAAGCAGGCCCTGGGTGAGCTCCAGGAAAGGCATCCCCAGCTGGAGGCTGTCCTGATGGGCACCCGACGGACTGACCCCTACTCTTGTAGCCTGAGCAGTTTCAGTCCCACCGACCCTGGCTGGCCTTCATTCATGCGCATCAACCCACTGCTGGTAATGCGACAGGACTGTCTGCCTTGGTCCCTCTGTGCCGTCCCCTTGCCACTGGGAGGAGGCTAGAGCCCAGGGGTTCCGTATCCCAAGGGAGGCAGGGCCATTTGTTCATTCATCCTTTTGACCAGTATTGAGCACTAATTGAGTGACGGGCATTGTGCTTTTCACTAGGGTCAAAACAGTGGCCCGGGCCTGTGCTATCCAATATTATAAATTGGAAATAATATTATATCCAATATTAGAGTAGTCATGTTCATACTTGAACTGAAATTGAAATGAAATCTAGATCATGGGGCTGAGGATGTAGCTCATTTGATATAGTGCTTGCGCAGCACACCTGAAAACCATGTATGGTGGCTCATGCCTAGGATTCCACCCTTCAGGGGAATTAGAGGTTCAAGGCCAGGGCTGGCAAGATGGTGTGGTCAGTAAAGGCGCTTGCTGCCAGATCTGAGGGCCTCACTTTGATCCCCAGGTCCCCAGATGGTAGAAGAAGAGAACTGACTCCCACAGCTTGCCCATTGACCGCACACGCACACGCGCGCACACACACACACACACACTATAGTTGTTTAAGGTTCAAGGTAAGTCTTGGCTACATTGTGAGTCTGAGGCCAGTCTGGGCATATGAGACCCTGTTTCAAAAATATAAAAGGAAAAAAATATAAACGATTAAGACCACTGAGAGGCTGAGGAAAGATGATTGTGTGACTTCAAGCCCGGGCTGCACTACATACTGACTTCTAGGCCAGCCTGGGTAAAACACTGTCAAAAGAAAACAAAAGCCCTGAACTATTTACTTTTCAAAAGGTGAAATTTATGGCATGTGATTCATAATGTCATTGTTTTTTTTTTTTTACTTAGATAAAATTTAAAAGTAAGTTCTTAGGTCTGGGGGTGCGCTCAGTTGGTTAGAGTACTTGCCTAGCTTGTACAAAGCTCTAGGTTCAACCCCCAGTACCACATAAACTGGGATGGAGCTCAGTTGGTTGTAGCAGGAATTGTTAGAAGGTCTTATTAATAAAATCAAACCCAGGGCCAGTTATTGGGGTGAACTCTGGAAGATCAGAGAAGCAGAACAAGCCACAGCCACCTCACTTTGCCAATTCCTCAGCTGATTCTGTTTCCTCAGACTGGATGCCTCTGAGTCCTCATCCAGAATGAATCTCAACTGAACTGCTGCTAGAAGCCTGAAAGCTTAACCAGCCAAATGCTTCTAGTTTCTGGTCCTCACACCTTATATACCTTTCTCCCTCACTCCCTGGGATTAAAGGCTCACTTTCTGGGATTAAAGGCGTGAGTCACCATGCCTGGCTGTTTCCAATGGGGCCTTGAACTCAGAGATCCAGAGGGATTTCTGCCTCTGGAATGCTAGGATTAAAGGTGTGAGTGCCACCATTTTCTAGCCTAAGTATCTAGTGGCTGTTCTGTCTCTGACCCCAGATAAGTTTATTAGGGTACACAATATTTTGGGGAACACAATACCACCACAGTTGGTGGAGTGCTTCCCTGGATACACAAAGCCCTGGCTCGGTGTCTGGTACCACCCTACTGAAGCCTGCCCATCACCCACCTGCCTTCTGTTTCACCACTCTAGGTACATACCACTGGGGACTTGGGAGTGGTATGAGGGACAGGAGTTAAGGTCATTCCCAGCTGTCAAGTGCAAGGCCAGCCTATGATGTATAAGACATGCCTAGTGGTGCACGCCTCAACTCCCAGCAGGGGGGAAAATAAGGCAAGAGGATGGCCATCTTGAGAACTGCATGAGCTACATAGTAAGACCCTGGCAGGAGGAGAGGAGAAAAGCACTTTTAAACAAAAGTGTGTGGGTGTTCGCCTGCACGAGTGTCTGAGGACCGGTGCACACCAGGCGCTCGAGTTGCCTAGAAGAGAATGTCAGATTCCCGGAACTAGAGTTACAGATGGTTGTGAGCCACCATGTGGGCGCTAGGAATTGAACCTGGGTCCTCTGTAAGAACAGTCAGTGTGCTTACCTCCTGAGCCATTTCTCCAGACCAAACACTGACTTCTTAAGTTATACCAGCTACATTTCAAATGCCCGCAATAAGAGACAATGTGGGGCTGGACACTTCCACTGTGGCAGAAAGCTCTAGACTTAAACACAGTAAACACAGTCCTTCCCCATCCTGGAGCTTCTACCACAGACAGGGGCAGGTGGCTGTGGAATGGGAACCGGCAGGGGGTAAGGACTTTCTCCGTCTCCCTACTTAAAGCCTCCACAGAGCAAGGTACAGCAGAGATCGGATAGCAAGCCTTCTCCAAGGCCAAGGGGAACAGAAGTACCTTTGGTGGGTCCGTCCCCAGGATGGCAGTGGTAGGTGAGGAGAGTTCTAGTGACTGATTGTCATTTCCCAGGACTGGAGCTACAGAAACATCTGGGATTTTCTGCGTCAACTGTTTGTCCCGTACTGTATCCTGTATGACCGAGGGTAAGGCTGTGTTGTGTGTGGGGGTGGGAGGGGAGGGGATGCTGGGATGAGGAGAACACACCTATTACCCACGTGCTCCCGTTTCAACACTCCAGGTATACGTCACTGGGGAGTCAGGAAAACACAGTGCAGAACCCGGCCCTGAAGTGCCTGAGCCCAGGAGGGCGCTCCACCTACCGACCAGCATACCTGCTGGAGAATGAAGATGAGGAGAGGAACAACCGCACGTGATCTCACACCAGCTGGGGATAAGGCAGAGGGCAGGGAGCAGGCGTGGGAAATATTGTCTGTCATGTCAGTAAATCGTACTTCACACACTGGTGTTGGTGCCTGTTGCTCTGGCTGCACCTTCCTGCTTCCAGGTCAAGGGAAGCAGAAGTGGACCAAAGCTGCCAGCTCTGACTGGCAGTGCTCGCTCAGGGGCCCAAGAGTCCAGTAGAACATACTGGAAAGGAGCCGCTAGGGATGACTCTCAGTGTCAGCCGTAGCCAGAGCTACCCAACGGGAGAAGGCACTCAGAGGACTGCCAACCGTTAGGAATGGGCCACTGGGCAGAGGACTGCCTCCTGGGAAGGGAAGTTGAACTCTCCTCACTGTGGAGAATGAAAGATGGAGCGGCCAAGCCCTCCCTTCCATCCACCACCACCCCTGTCTGTGGGGCTGACTCAGCCTGTTCAAGGCCCAGAACCATCTTTTGCTGGACCCCAGAGCCTTTGTCTGGTCATGAGGTCTGAGGGGGTGGGGACAGTGGATAAAAGGCCCCAGAGGCAGCGTCCACACCCTTCCACTGAGCTGCTGTCCACATGAAGCCACCAATGCAACCCCTAACCCAGGCCCTGCCCTTCTCTCTCGGAAATGTCCTCCGAGGAACTGGTCTCCAGGTGCCTGTCGTTAAGATGGGCACAGGGTGGGAGGGCTTACATCGAACTCTGAAGGAAGTTGCCTACATCCTCCTCTGCTGCTGGTGTATCAAGGAACTGCTGGATTAGCGGTGGCTGGGAACCTCTGTCACCCCTGGCACCCAGACCCGCGTCACTCAGGTGGGACGGGGAGGGTAGACGTCAGGAGGTGTGGCTGCAGCTTCTGTGGTGGAACCTGCAGCCCAGCTCTCCCATCTTTCCTGTAGCTCTAAGACCCCTGCAGCCAGCCGGCCTTCACCAAGGATGGGCCTCCCACAAGTGAGGAGGCCAACGCGGACCCCGCTTTGAGTTGTCCATCTGTCTGTCCTGCCTCATCCTGGGGCACCCACCCATTCCCAGCTCCCGTCTCCGGTGTGCTTCTGGTAAGCACGAGCTTGGCTTGCCGGCTAAGACTCCATCAAGACTGCAGCAGGATCTAGTACTCCTCCAAAACTGGCACAGTGGGCCCACAACTCAGATGACTGATCTTACCATGCGCTTGAAGAACCAGGAATGGACTGCCCCTAAGATCTCGGATAATCTCAGAACTACACATATAATAAATGAGCCTTGAGGCCAAAAATTCTTAACCGTCTAATGCGCGCCCAGAAAGGGCTTTAGAGCCAGGGTGCAGGGCAAGGAGGAAGGGTGGATCTCTGGAGAAGTGAGACTGATAACCAGGTTTGCTGACTCTGGTGCTGGGGTAGAAGTGCCAAGCCGAAGGGCCAGGTTCCTCCCAGCCTCTGGGTAGGGTGGGCAGAATGGGCAGAGCCGCCTTCTGTGAGGCCCAGGGTGCTAGGATAGGGATGCAAAAGACTCAGCCTTTTTCCAAATAGGTGTGACCTGGGAAGCTCCCTGTCTCCAAGGAACATGGGGATGGACCATCCTGAGCTAGTCCCCAGCTTGTGGGAGGAGTCCCAGTTCAGACACAGCTGTCAGAGTGGCCACACCAGTCCTTCACGCCTATCCCAGCACACAGGACACAGTCTGAGGAAGTAGGTTGACTCCTCACTTCCCCTCAGCTGCCACCAACATACACTTTCCTTCCATCAAGAGCAGTTGATGGACACGTATAGAATTGGTTCAGACCTATCACACCCTCACCTACGCGGGGGGTGGGGGGGAGGTGGGTCCTCTCTCTTAGCACCCTGGCCTAGCCACCACCCACCTCTCTCACCTGACCTGGAGGTAGTGCATAGTTTCTCTGCCTCCCTCTCTGCAGCCAGCTCTTCTTTAGCCTTGTTCTCCGGCAACTCCCTTTTCTCTGGGCCTTTTGGTTTGTTGATGGTTGTCTGGTTGGTTGGTTGAGTTGGTGATGGGGACCGAACCCAGGGCTTTGCAGCTACCTAACCTGCTGTACCATAGCCTGGCTTCTGTTGTCATGCGGATGCGATGTGCACGAGTTGTGGACCCACACTAGCTTCAGCACTTGGGAGGCAGAGGCAAGCAGATTTTGAGACCAACCCGATCTACACAGCAAGTTCTAGGCTAGCCGGGGCTACACAGTGAGACGCTCTCTAAAAATAAATAAATGAATAAAAATGTTTGTTTTTTTTTCAAGATGGGATTTCTCTGTGTAACAGCCCTGGCTGTCCTGGAACTCACTTTGCAGACCAGGCTGGCCTGGAACTCACAGAGATCTGACCGCCTCTGCCTTCCAAGTGCTGGGATTAAAGGTGTGCCGCCACACCCAGCATAAATAACCTAATACTTTGTAAAGAAATACTATATGCCTGGGTGCTCGGGAGGCTGGGACAGAAATATTACCAGTACATCACCATCCTGGCTGTATACTCCCAAGTCACCTGTGGCTACATAGGAAATCTGTCCTTAAAAAAGTAGGGGTTGGGGATTTAGCTCAGTGGTATAGCGCTTGCCTAGCAAGCGCAAGGCCCTGGGTTCGGTCCTCAGCAATAAAAAAAAAGAAAAAAAAAAAGAATTTGAGATACAGTGGAATGCTGCTTGCCTAGCATGGGCAAGGCTCTGTAATCCCGAGCAAGGAGTGTGAGTGTGTGTGTGTGAGAGAGAGAGAGGTGGGGGGAGAGGGAGAGAGCAGAGAGAGAGAGAGAGAGAGAGAGAGAGAGAGAGAGAGAGAG